GAAGCGAGGGCAGGGAGCTCCTGCGGTGGCATAAACGGGGCTGGGAGAGTTTGCTGGTTGACTCCTCGTGGAAGTCAGGTGGGAGCTCTGAATATTGCAGCTGCCCTACGGGTAGGGAGCGGGTCTGCGGGGAAGGGCAGGGCTTCTTGCCGTTGTGGTTGTCATGCTGTTTGCTTCCCCAGAGTCAGAAAAAGACTTTGGGAGGCCGAGTTTAGGGCAGCACCCCGGCCACGACTTGCTGTCCTGCTTCTCGGACTGCGATGGTTGTGAGATGTTAGCTGCGTGTAGCAAAATAACCATATAAAAGGGGCTGGGGGTTCTGGAACACTGATTTTTTCCTCCCCCTCTTTTAGGCAAAGCAGACGAGGACCTGAAGGGGAAGTAAGCGAGCTGCTCTACTTGGTACACTGCTCTTGGGCTGATCCTGCGTTCACACCTTGGGGTGCACCGTCCGGTCAAGAGGGCACTGGGAGCAAGAGAAACCCCAAAGAAGCTCCTGGTTTCCCCTGGCCGGTTCCCTCCTCAGGGCTGCTGTGATTTGGGGTGCTGGGAGGAGCACGGAGGAGGCGAGGGGATAAGGGGGTTGCTGAAGCTCTGTGCTTGCTGGGTGGTGGGTTGTATGACCTGTGCCTGAGGGTGTTTCACACAAATTGGGGTGATGCAAAGGCTACAGCTCTTCACTTTACCCGTCCTTACCCCCTCCCCAACCGTCTGTTCTCCCCAGCATCCTCGCCTCCGCCGGTAGCAGCTACTACTGGGTCCTTTTGGTTTTGTCCATTAAAGCAGCGCGTGTGCCTGCGGTCCAGCCGCTGCTGAGCTCGGGGGCGGTTTTGCTCTTGACTTCAGCCGAGCCAGGACGCTCTCCAGATCACAGCCAGGAGGGGCCGACTCTGACGTGGCACCGATGCAATCCGGAGTCGCTCCGCTGGCAGTTCCAGGGAGCTGGATTAGCTGAGGTCAGAGTCTGTGTTAATCTCTGGTGCTATTCTGGGCTGGGACCATGGTATGAATTGCTCTATATAAACCCTTCCAGGGTGCTAGGGCAAGGATGATTTTATGATCCTGCTAGACAGCATCCAGGTATTTTACCCCTCTACCCATCTTGCACACAGCAGAGACAGTTCTAGATTTCACATGTCCTCTGGGCTTGATTCTGACTTGGCCTTACACCAGATTTATCACTGTGCTGTAAACCCCAGTGGCACAAGCGGTTCCTCCTTGCTGTACACCGGTGCAAGGGAGGCCAGAACCGGGCTCACGGGCTACGCTTTGCACAACTCAGGCTTTGGGAATCACGTCCGCGTTTCCTCTGCGCTCGGAAGGGCTGCGACGCTGATTTCTCCTTAATTCAGCATCTGATTCGTGGCCTTCCCTCCCTGTCCCAGAAACCAAATCCTCCTCTGAAATCAATGCGCAAGGATTTTTGAAGACAGCAAAGCTTTTGCTGACCCGTGGGTCTGGTGGTGCAGCTCTAGTGCAACGCGTGAACGGTTTGGTGAGGCTGCGCTGCCGGCGCTGTTACGGTGCAGCTGCGCTCAGGGGCACATTAGAGGCTTTTCTCTGCATGTATTTTGCCTCAATCCCATCGTTACGAGGGCACTGATAAAAATTGCAACACGCCAGCTCATTACCTGCAGCTCACTGCTGGTCTTGTACCTCTTGCAATACTGAAAATAAAGCACTGATTCACTGTGTTGGAGAAATAACCTCTTTTTTTTTTTTAAAAGCACTGATGATGGCACCCTGGTGCCTGGTGCATCTGCCCTGGGATTCCTTCTCTGCTCGGTTTTCCAGTTTTGGATGCAGGGATGCGGGGGCTGCGCCGGTGGTGGGATGCGTGCAAGGCAGGCACAAATGCAGGTACAAAGCCCTGGCCAGAAAGCTGAGAGCAGATTTCGTCTGGAGTCTTATCTCCAGCTGTGGACCCGGTGACCTGAGGTGTGGACACAGCCCGTCTTGCACCCAGCGTGGCCTCGCAACCCAAAGGGTTGGCCTCCGGTTGGTGTGTGTGGTTTTATCCTGTATCTAACCGTTACCCCAGGTTTTGCCATGTGAAAGGGGGATGCTGATGCATTGGAGGCCTTCAGGCATTCCCGGGGTCAAAACTTCCGTTGGGGAAGGTTTCCTTTTCGCTCCAGTTAGCATTTTTGCCCAGCTGAAGCTGGGTTTAGGTTGTTTCACAGTGTGTTCTCAGTACCGTCTGGGCTGGCAGGATCTTCTGGGCAGAAGGGATGTGAGTTTTAGCGGTGCCTCATGATAGTTTCCCCGCATGAAGCTGCCTGCAAGACTGGAAGCTGCAACCCTTCCCTGCCTCCCAGAGGTTTCTTCGCCCCGGCAGGGTTGGATACTGGGTTCACGGAGGCTGGAGACTTGAGCTGGGCTTTGCCAGACTCCAGTTCCCTCCTCCAAGGGGATGAAGTCAAAACGCCGGGGCCCGCGGGCCCCCCCCCCCCCCCCCCCCCCGCCCCTGCCGCTGGCTCATGCCCCGTGGCATCGCCCTTGCCGCCTTCCCCGTGTGCGGGACAACCTCCGGCTCTAATTCCTAATCAGGTTCCAGCCTGAAGGTTCAAGCTGCTTTTCAACCGGTTAATCCCCTGATCTGCTGCTTGGCCCCTGGCCTGGCCACCTCCACGCGAGCCCCGGAGGGCAGGAGCTGCCCCTTTGCTTCCCACCCTGGAGCACCGTGGGACCATCCGTCCCTGGGACACCTCCCGCCCCGCTGCCCCCGGCCTGCGGCGCTGGGAAGGAAGGTGTTTTTGGGGGTGGTTTCCCCTGAGACGCTGCGGTGGAAGGAAACCTCCTTGGGAGTGCCGGCGTCGAGGGGACGGCGATGATTCCTCCCGCTCCTGGGGGGCTCTCCGGCACCGTGTGCCACGGGGGACCCAGCCACGCTTCCACGCCGCCTTGCAGTTCGCGGACGCAGGCACGGGAGGGTGCAAGTGCTTTTCCTAACCCTTCCCCGGAGCATCGCGGGGAGGGAAGGACGCGGCTGGGGTGGGCACGGCAAGCGGCCTCGCCTTCCCGTGGATCCACCCTTGCAGCAACGAGAAGGAAAATTACCCGGAGCCAAAAAAACTCAGGATGGTTTAAATAGGGATGGGACGTTTTCCTGGAAATCTGGCCGGAGCCACCAACGCCAGCAGGGATTTTGGCCAGGGGTATCGGCAGCACCTGGTGCTAAGGGTGCAGGATGCCACCCTGCAGGGCAGATCCCATCCCTAACCCCTTCCTAGCTCCCCCGAGCACCCCCGGCCGTCCCGGGCACCGTGGGGTCCCTCGTCCTTCCCCGGACCGCTGTGGGTGCTCGGGGCCCGGGGGGGGAAACCTGCTCTGCCCTTCCCTCGCTCTGCGGCACCGGGCATCCCCATCGCCTCCGCTGGGCTGCGGCCAGTCCTTCCCCTCTGCCATTCGTCCTCATTTTATTATTACACTAATGACAATTCTGGCTTAATAAAAGGATTTTGCTTAGTTGGGCAAAAGCGGCCTCACATCAGCAACGCGGGTTTAATGACAGAAATTGAATTATGTTACCAGGCCGACGCAAACTTCCCTGGTTGTTTAAAGAATCATTAATTTCCTCCGCCGTAGCCTCCAGCTGACCTCCCTTTTTAATTTTTTAATTTTTTTATTTGCATGCCATGAAGAGGACCTGCCTCTTTGACCCTCCTCAGGATGGCTCCGGCGGATGGCAAAGCGGCCAGAACACAGCGAGATTTAGATTAATTTTCCTAATAAAGACGACAAGCCCTATAGAAATTACGTTACGCAAGGAAAAAGAAAATGACCTGGAGGCATTAGGAAGCTCTAATTACCATTATTCCTTGGAGCCAGCACGGCGGGAGGAACGAGCCGGCTGGCCAGGCAGTCCTCTGCCTGCAGCCGGCTGCTTTCACCTGAAATTTTCACTCGTGTTTCAAGTGGGCTGCCCGGCCTCGCAGGGATGGCTCCTTTTTTTTCTGTTTGTGTCGGTTTATTTAATTTTACCCTCCTATCGCCAGTTTTTCCCACGCCCGGTGAGCC